TATTCACGCCAGTCTGAACGCGCCCTAAGCTCCGTGAGAGCGAGAAGGTCGATCACTGCAGTCATTTTCAGTTGTCTTATTGTATTCACGAAGTGAAAGAAGTGCTATATTCAACGCTGTTAGCGCCGTGAACTGTTTATTAGTAGTCCTCTCCGTTGTGTACTGGGACGTGACACCGACAGGAGGAGGCAAACATTTTAAAACATACGACATTATTTCGTTCGCTAATTACCGTTACCCGTCGTCTCACGTGGCTTCAGAATAGGTTACGAGAGATAGGAGAGTCTCCAGCAAGCAGCGCATCCATCGTCAGGAAGTGGAAAGAGCAAAAGGCATGGTCATTGGTTGAGGTGAATGCTGAACGTTTGATTTGTCCCAACCAAGATTTCAGCACTTGGTTCGTCACGATTTTCGCTTGCCAGCTAACGTCTCCGCACTCCAGCTTTCTCTTGTCGGTGTCACGTCCCAGTACACAACGGAGAGGACTACTAATAAACAGTTCACGGCGCTAACAGCTAGCGTTGAATAGCACTCCCGACCGCCAGCAGCAGCACCTCAACAGCTCCAGTCAGCAGTGAACATGGTTATGGACTGGGCTGCTACATAGTCATTTGGTGGCAGGTTTAATGCCGCTAAATCCGTGCGTGTTGTATTCGGCAAACTTGACCCCGCCCAGACTCCTGCCCCAGCACTGCGTGTGGATGCTGCAGACCTATGTCCCTCGACTACCCACCGCCATCTAGGAATCACCCTGGATCCCCGCCTGTCTTTCCAGACCCACATCAATAGTGTCACCTCCAACTTTCGTCGTCGCGTTGTTCTGCTATCCTACATGCCACGCAAACTGACCCCTGCTCTCATTGCCCGCCTCTACAAAGGATACGTCCGTCCCTCCATTGAGTATGCTTCACCTCTGTGGAATAACAAACTGACCGCAGGAAATATTGACACTTTGGAACGATTGCAAGCACGCGTGGCCAGGCAGTATTTACACGGTGACCCAGGGCCTGCTGGAGAGCCGGGTCAGCCGGGTCACGCGCCCGGCTGGGGAACTGCACGACCTGGCTGAACAGATAACACCGGGTCCAGTCTGACCCGGCTGAAAAATGTCTCAAACTGACAATGGATTCCTAAAATACCGGTATTTTACGACTCGCGGACCCCATCTGTTGCAAATCTGTAGCGCAACCGTACACACTACAGTCTACACGTATACAAGCGACAGAAACTCGGCTAGGGTCAACTGGGGTCAACTGGGGTCAACTGGTTCGAGCGCGGCGAGCCAGCGGCGAGCAGGAAGTCAGGACATTCAAAGTCGATGGGGCAGGCAGTCAGAAGCGTAACTAACTTTGGCTATAGCTTTTGACACAGTTGCAAGTTTTCAGCCGACTGGTGATTTGGACGATGGAGACCGCAGCGAAGAGAAAAAGAACTCACGCTTTCCAAAACTCTTGGAAGAAAGGTCGACCCTGGCTGAAGCTTGTGAAGACGGCGATGCGGAACTCGCTGTCGACGAGGAATCTGGAGATGATCATGGCAATCAAGCTTGATGTTCCTGCCGTCGCCGACTTCAATTACGACAAGGCTATGGCTGCGTGGCATTCTGAGGTGACTCGGCACAGTACGACTGCAACGTCAACCTCTTCTGAGCGGCGGGACCTGGCCCGCACACCCAGAGCAGCAACGCCAGCAGCCACCCCAAAAGGTGCTGCAGCCCCCCCCCCCCAGTGCTCTATTATGTGAACATGTTCGTCCTGCTACTAGCACTACTCGTATAATATTATAAATTAGAAAACAGAGTTCCTTTTTTTCAAATGGAACTGCTTTGCATTCTTCACGTAATGTCGTTTACCTTCTACGTTTGCGGACTTTCATGGTTCGCCTTGTTCTCTAAAATTTCCGATTTCCGGTAATAAATTCGCCTTTCCGTTTTCCTGCGTTTTGAGCAGGCTTTTTGGTTGTTTTTCTGTCGGATGATATGACCCGGCTTGACCCGGCTGGCCTGCATGCGCCAGGTACACTCTGACCGGGCTGTGTTGAATGTCTAGAGCAGGCCCTGACACCGTCGGAAAGTGCCCATTCCTCATGGCATGGAGAACGTGTTTGAAGCGGCTGAATGGGAAAGTCTTGCGTGGCGGCGGCATATACATTGTCTCAAACTGTTTTACCATTTCACCCACCAAAACCCGGAAACCCTCAATAATCTCAACATAGTTCTATCCAAGAGTGCACGACGTCCTCACTTTTACCTCCTGCCCACTCACACTGGTCCCTGTTTCCGATCCACTCTACTACATTCCATGATCACCACGTGGAACTCCCTGCCTACCGAGATTAGGATATCTGAAACCCGTGGTGTATTTAGCCGGCACGTTAAGTCCCATTTCCACAGGTATAGATTCCATCCTCGAGGTTTTCTCACTTCCTGATTACCCCCCCCCTTCTTTACCAGTACCCTTTTCGCTTGCTTCTACTCAGACTTCTTATCTAAGAATTGCACCCTATTGTACACGCATTGTACACGTATATTTATTCTCGGAGTAGTAGTAGTAGTAGTATTTATTATTTGACTAGGGGAGTCCCAACAGGCATGGCCTTGTTACAGGGAACCCTAGGTGAATCTTTGTGAGGTGAGCAAAAGTACCAGCAGATTGTGCCTGACGACAGTTTGGAGGAAGAGTGTTCCACCAACCTGCAGCCAGAAAAGAAACTGAGCGCAGTCCATACCCAATATGTACAGTAGGTAATACTAAGGCAGCTGTATCCTGGCCACGAGTACGAGCATTTGTGTGCGGGCCAACTGAACGCAGGAGAAACAGTGACTGAAGGAGGGGGCTAGCAATTGATGACAAGCAGCGATAGACCAAAACGTATAGTTTCAAATTAACTCTTTGCTCAAACGAATACAGATGACACCGTTGTAAAACTAATGCAGTTGGGGTCATTCTATCTAAACCAAATGCCTTCTTCATCGCAATGTGGCTGACCGTTACAAGCCTTTTATATAGGGTAGTTTTCAAACAGTGCACATACGCATTACTTGCATATTCTAGAGTAGACTGTATAATTGACAAGAAGAAAGTTCTCCGAGCTGTAGCTGATAAATTGCGACGGCCATGAGCAAAACAGGCTAGTTTAGCGAAGACCACTGAACGCACCTTTTCTACTTGTGGGCGGAACGTTAGATGCTCATCGATTAGTATACCGAGGTATTTCACAGTAGAGACAGGGGAAATGACAATACCTTTACACGGAGACCCCCTTGATTTAGGCTTCGGCCTTTGGGGAATCCCTCAAAATAATAATAATAAGGCCACACTGAAGAAGGTCTGTGGTTCGACTCACCCGACCGACCGTACAATTTTCAGCCCGACCGTAACTTTTTTTCGGCGGGCTGTCGTGTGACTGACGTACGTGGACTGAACACGTCCACGTCTACGTGCTGTGCAGTAGTGAGTCTGCGGACGCAGGCGCCAGGCGGCTCCTTTTGGACTTGACTTGTAGTTGTACTGCAGTGCAGTGCAGTCAGTGGTACGACTGCTGCCTTGTGCTGGTAGTAGAGTCTACTCGATACGACCACCGGCAGACTGGCGAGACTTATTTTGAAGTGACCGTCCGGTTGAGAGTGATTGCCTCGTTCCAGATTAAGGACGGCCTTCTGTTTTGGGATGAAGGACAGACGAGATTGCACTTTCCTCGTGTATTGGGAACGATATTTCACCTGTACCGATAAGTTGCTGCTCCATGTGTGCAAGCACAGGAAGCGTCGATGGAAAAAAGCCCATGTATTCGTGCACGCCGACACCAAACTAGCAATACATGTTCCGGTACATTGTACAATTTGTACTTCGAAGTAGTTCCCGAACTTACTTTCAACTCGCATCGTTCTTCATTTGCTTGATGATTTGGACAGTCAGAGTCACCGCTTGAAGTTATTCTCTTCTCGTTCCAGAGCTACACAATGTTTCAAAGAGCCAGTGATCCCTTTATACAACATGTATGGCATAACACTGCGTAATAATGCCGATGTACTGGGTGTCTAAAGGCAGTACAGTGTATTTACATGTACTAAAAAAAATATTTTAAAAAAAATCCGCCCGCCCGCCCGAAAAAAAAATGTCCATGTTAGTCGAACCACACACCTTCTTTAGTTTGGCCTAATAATAACTTCTTTCACTTCGTGAATACAATAAAACAACTGAAAATGACACAATTCTGCAGTGATCGACCTTCTCTCTCACGGAGCTAAGCAGAATGTGCGTCATCACCTGTAGTCGCCATGGAAACGCAATCAGAAAATCGGCGATATGGCAAGTTTGCAATATCGTACGGAGGCGAGAGATATACCATCGGAACCGATATGAAATTGTCTTTCATCTGAGCCCTACTTGAAAAATCGATGCACTTCCCCTCTAACTTCCCCTTTATCCTCCCTACCTAATTTCCCTTTGGTGCGTCCATGGGGCTATGAAGCCGAGACTTCTGGTCGGCGGAGTTTAATGGGCCCCACCACCACATTCCATTATTCACCCCATGCCCAGTCCCTGGAGATGTGGATTTTGTAGAGAAAAAAAAGAAAAGAAAAAATGAAATGTCGTAGACCTTCCCTGCATTGGGGCATGCCCTGGACATTCCCAGGACTGTGGCATGCCCTGGACCTTCCCTGCAGTATTGGGGCATGCCCTGGACATTCCCTGCATTGTGGCATACCCTGGACCTTCCCTGCATTGTGGCATGCCCTGGACATTCCCTGCATTGGGGCATGCCCTGGACCTTCCCTGCATTGTGGCATGCCCTGGACCTTCCCTGCATTGGGGCATGCCCTGGACATTCCCTGCATTGTGGCATGCCCTGGACCTTCCCTGCATTGGGGCATGCCCTGGACCTTGCCTGCACTGGGGCATGCCCTGGACATTCCCTGTATTGGGGCATGCCCTGGACATTCCCAGCACTGTGATGTGCCCTGGACCTTGCCCGCACTGCGACAATATAATGGCATGCGCTCTGGCAACATTGAGATGTTTACCGGTTGCTGTACGGTATCATACGAATCTACATGTATATTGACATGTATAATCTATGTCGGAGAGAGAAAATAGCGCGAAAATAAACACACGTTCACACAATAATTAAAGAGTTGAATAAAAGAGAGCATAAAAATGGACAAATTCACGCAACATGATCAGCAGCAACAACAGCAGTGGGTATGCCCCAACACTCACTCACACACACACACACACACACACACACACACACACACACACACACACACACACACACACACACACACACGCGCACGCACGCACGCACACACACACACACACAAATGTTTACGCAGTTCCCAACAATTGCACATCGGGCAAACACTATGATATATAGCAGAGGAGCAATGCTCTACTAGAAACCATGCCAACAAGCAATGCTCCACTATAAACCATGCCAACAAGCGACCATCCATGGACGGGAGGGTGGCGTATGTACACACAAGCTTGAGGGCATGAGATGATAAAACTATGTAAAAAAAAGGTTGGTGTGTGTGTGTGTGTGGCATAGCATAGAGTTGCATGAGGTATGTAGCTGTTAATTATTATAGAATAGACTGTGCACGCCGCTGTTCCAGTGTGATGGGCAGTAGAATCGGAGTTGACAGATACCCTGAATCACCACACCAGTCTGCTGTTAAAGTATAGGTGCCGCCGGGTATTACACAATACACGTAAAACTCTCAGCAAAACACTGCACATGTCATGAGAGATAAATGCCGGGCTGGGCACAATGCCGGGCTGGGCACAATGCCGGGCTGTGCACATTGCCAGGCTGTGCATAATGCCAGGCAATGCACGAAGAGGAAGCGTTGATGTGGATACAAAACATGAAGATGGCTCGCTGTGCTGTTTTCCACGACTCTAAACAGCTTTCGGAGAATTTTCTACTGGCAAATGCAGTATCCGATAGCATGATAAAGGGGAGAGAGAGAGAGAGAGAGAGAGAGAGAGAGAGAGAGAGAGAGAGAGAGAGAGAGAGAGAGAGAGAGAGAGAGAGAGAAGGGGGGGGGGCACTTGGACTAGTACAGCTTATCTCTATATTTCAGGAGAGATCAGCAGAAAGCATTGGAAGTAGAGGAGTGCTGGAGTTGTGCTGGAGCTGTGCTGGAGGTGTGCTGGGGCGGGTGTGTAGGAGTTGCCACACCTCTTGCAGCTGCAAGAACTGTGCAGGTGACTATGCGCACACAGCGCATACTCCCTCTCTCTCTCTCTCATCCGTCTCAGTTCAGCATGATTATGAGACATGTGAAGCATGTGTAGCAGGTATGGCTAGACTGTTACAACGGTTGAGAAGCTGATGTCGGGGGAGAGTGAGTGACAATGTCAGGCACGGTCGGGGGAGAGTGAGTGACAATGTCAGTCACGATGCTAGAAGACGACCACTTTTCACTTGCTTGATCCTGAGTGACTAGTAAATGGGCATAGCAAGGTTTCCCTTCAGGATGATGTAACACGCCTCGCAGACGCGTACCAAGCGTTGAATACCCCTCTCTGGGATCTCCGATTCAAACTTGCTGCACCTGTACACATACGGGTGTGTGGGCGGGTGCGTGTTGGGGGGAGGGGCAGCGACAGACATGCGCACAGATAGCAATGCAAAACCATACACACACACACACACACACGCGCGCGCGCGCGCTCGCACGTACGCACCCACGCACGCACACACACGTACGCACACGTACGCACACACACACACACACACACACACACACACGCAACAATGAAGATGTATAGTCGAATGAGTGTCGATGTGCAGCAGAAGTGGTAACTACAAAAAACAAATTCCCACTCTGAAAATGACTCCTGACTCGTAAAACAAATCCTCGCTCCTAAAACAAATCCTCACTCCTAAAACAAATCCTCACTCCTAAAACCAATGCTGTGCGTGATCATGTCACGTTTCTCCAAATCCATGTAGCACAAAAAATAAACAAACTAAAATACCAGGTCGACAAAGGTTTTTTGACAACGCCCGGTCAAGGGGGTATTTCAGGCCGGGCATGAAAAAGCACTAACCCTTTCATGGCTAATGACTTACTTGAACAAGACAAATGATTGAAATAATTGAGTGCTACTGGCGCTTACTGCCCAAGTGAGTAATTTTTCAATGTACTCTACTTTGCTATTGCCCGAGGGAGATGGAGAGGGAGAGGGAGAGGGAGAGGGAGATGGAGAGGGAGAGGGAGAGAGAGAGGGAGATGGAGATGGAGAGGGAGAGGGAGAGAGAGAGAGAGAGAGAGAGAGAGAGAGAGAGAGAGAGAGAGAGAGAGAGAGAGAGAGAGAGAGAGAGAGAGAGAGAGAGAGAGAGAGAGAGAGAGAGAGAGAGAGAGAGAGAGAGAGGGAGAGGGAGAGGGAGAGGGAGAGGAGAGGGAGAGGGAGAGGGAGAGGGAGAGGGAGAGGGAGAGGGAGAGGGAGAGGGAGAGGGAGAGGGAGAGGGAGAGGGAGAGGGAGA